TACACTTTATTTTTTAAGAGCAGTTTTAGGTATACAGAAAAGTTGCACAGAAAGTAAACAGTTCCCATATACCCCCTTCTCTCTGCCCAGTTTCTCTAATGATTACGTTTTACATTTGTTACAACGATGAACCTATACTGATACATTCTTATTATCTAAAGTTTATAGATGTATTAGTTTCATAGGGCCTTAACAAAGTTCCACAGAGTGAGTGACTTAAAAAGGACAAAAATTTATTCTCTCACAGTTCTGGAGGCCAGAAGTTCCAGTTCAGGGTGCTGGTGGGACTATGCTCTCTTGGAAGACTCTAGGTAAGATCCTGTTTTATCTCTCCTGGCTTCTGGTAGCCCCAGGCGTTCCTGGGCTTGTAGCTGCAGCATAACTCCAACTTCTGGGTCCCTCTTCACATGGCTATCTTCTTTTTGTGTGTCTGTGTTTCTTGTCCTCTTTTATAAAGACACCATTCATACTGGACTAGGGCCCACCCTACTCCAGTATGACCTCATATTAACTTAATTGATAACATTTTGAAGGATCTTATTTGCAAAAAAAGGAAATAATTCACAGGTACTTCAACATAGCTTTTGGTGGGGCACAATTTAACCCATAGGAGTCCCCGGGTGGTGCAAATGGTAAAGCGCGCTGGGTTACTAACCTAAAGGTTGGGGGGTTGGAACTCACCCAGATGCTCCTTGGAAGAAAGGCCTGGTGATCTACTTCCTAAAGGTCATAGCCATGAAAACCCTATGGAGTGCACTTCTACTCTGACACACATAGGGCTGCATGAGTCGGAGTGGACTTGATGGCAGCTGGTTTTAATTCAATCCATAACAATAGTTTACATCAGGGTTCATGCTTTGTGTTGTACAATTCTATGGGTTTTGACAAATGCATAATTTCCTGTATCCACCAGTAGTTTCACTGCCGTTAGAATATCCCATGCTTCAAGTATTTATTTTATATGGCAAAAATAAAACACAACAAAACACACAGGTTTAATGTGAGACGTGGGTAGTTTTAATATGTTGGAGATGGTGAAGCTAGGGCTTCCCAAGGTAAGTGCTTAAGGCCTACAGAGATTCTTTAAATAGTCCTTCCTGCCTGTGTTACCTCCGTTATGAGCTCTGACTCATGGCAATCTTAGTATAACAGAGCGAAACGTTGTACAGTCCTGCACCTTCCTCACGATTGTTGATTTGTTTGAGTCCATTGTTGTGGTTATTGTGTCAATCCATCTCACGGAGGGTTTCCCTTGTTTTCACTGACCCTCTACTTTATCAAACATTATGTCTTTTTCTAGCAATTGGTCTTTCCTGATGATGTCTCCAAAGTAAATGAGTCCAAGTCTAGCCATCCTCGCTTCTAAGGAGCATTTCTGGTTCTATTTCTTCTAAGACTGATTTGTTCCTTCTTCTGGTAGTCCACGGTATATTCAATTTTCTCTACCAGCACCGCAGTTGGAATGCATTGGTTCTTTTGTCTTGCTTTCTCATTATCCAGTTTTTGCGTGCATATGAGGCAATTGAAAAGACCATGGCTTGGGTCAGACGCAACTTAGTCATCAAAGCGACTCCATTATAGCACAACTCATATGAGATGATGACAGTTTCTATGACGGGCAAGAAAACTAATCTGGAGCTAGGGGGAACTAGATCAAATTGTTCTCTGTAGTTTCAATGTTACCCACTGTTGGAGCATTGGGAACTGACAACGATCGCGGTGGGGATCAGATATGATAGCTCTCCGGTGGTATGCGGAGCCAGTGTGAGGTCATGCAAGGGACCCAGAAGTCCATGCGACCCAGGCTCTGCTCTTGAACGGCTCCCAGGAGTGACTCTCCCAGGAGTCCTGATCCCCAGGTGCGGACAGGTAAGTGCAGGAGTGTGTGTGATGCGCAATCTAAGAGAGGCAGACGGGCAGAATACAGGCAGGGTGGCTGTATGGGCGTTCTCGGATGGGAAGGCGCCCTTTTGAGACTCAGGCAGGGAGGAAGGCAGGAGCTGGGCTACGGTTGCCGACAGCAGCTGCTATGGAGTCAGTTCTACCTTTGATCTCAGGAAGGCTGCGCTGAAGCTCCAGGGCGTGGGCGGGGCCTCAGGAGCCCTCGTCAGCTCCTCCCACCGCATCCCTTCCTGCCTCAGACGCCCGGAGTCCTCACCCCTAAACCCTCCTCCCTCAGACCCAGGAGTCCAGCCCCCAAGGTCACGGCCCCGCCCGCCGGACTCCTGAAACTACCAATCCCAGCAGTAACTGCGCTCAGGGCCCGTCCCCATAGGTCCCGCCCCTGGAAGGCCCGCCCCCAAGCCGCTCGCCCCGCCCCCTCGCCGATCAGTCCCGGAAACCGCAGGTCCAGGAACTCCTGCGGGGTCACCCTCGTGGATCGCAGGAAAAGAGCGCTTAGTCCCTGGAGCGACCCCCGAGCGCGTCTGCAGGCAGCTCCGCGGCTGCACCCCCGCCGCAGGCCGGCATGAGTCGCTACCTTCTGCCGCTGTCCTTGCTGGGCACGGCGGTGGGTGGCGCCGTGCTGCTCAAGTGAGTACGCGCCGCTGTCCCGGGCGCATTAATGGTGGTCCCGTGTGCAGCGGTAAGGGAGGGAAGGTCCGGTAAAGATCACCAAATCCTCGCGGATTCTGGGATCCTCCAGTTCACCAGATCAACAGAGCTCCCCCAGAATGTGAGGGAGCAAGCCTAGGCGCAGAGAGCGCTGGGCACCGGCTCAAGGTCACCCAGAGGAAGGGAGAGATCTGGACCCTTGTAAACATTTTGGTCTATTTCCTTCCGGACTTTTAATTAATTCAGCAAATATTTATCGAGCACTTTCTCTGTGTCACTTGCTGTCCTGGGTGCAAGGGAAATATATACCATCCAAAGGCTCGTTGTCAGACATTTAGTACCAAATGAAGTTGTCCAACTCAGTATACCAAGAGATCCTATTGAGTAACATATACATACACTCTTTTCTTCTTTCTGTCCTTCCTTCCTTTTCTTTCTCTCCTCTCTTCCTCCATCCCTCCTTCTGTCCCTCCCTTCCTTCTTTTCTTGAGCAATTTGGGATTGTATTGAATATACAGAATAACCCAAAAACCAAACCCACTGCCATCTAGTAGATTCCAATTCATAGCAACCCTATAGGACGGAGTAAAACTGCCCTTTATGAAAGCAGACTGCCACATCTTTGTCCCGCGGAGAGGCTGGTTTGAACCACCAACATTTTGGTTAGCAGCTGAACGCTTTAACCACTGCTCTACCAGGTCTTTTGAATATACAGAATAGTAGCTACTATTTGAAGGAACCCTGGTGGCACAATGGTTAGGTGCTCGGCTGCTAACTGAAAGATTGGCAGTTCGAAGTGATCATGAGGAAAAGACCTGGCCATCTGCTCCACAGAAAGATTACAGCCTAGGAAACCCTATGGGACAGTTCTACTCTGTTCTATAGGGTCACTATGAGCCGGAATCAGCTCCATGGCACACAACAACAGCTACTATTTATTATGCACCTAGGGGAAATGCCTGCCACTTGTTCACACAGCTAGTGAGTGGGAAGCTGAGCTTGGAACCCAAGTGTGTCTAACTAGAGAACTCTCAGTTTTTCCTGCCACTCAGCATTGTATCCTGTTTATTTCCCACCTTTAACTTAGCACTAAGGTGTGAACTGGGTGGTACAAATGGTTAACATGCTCAGCTATTAACCAAAAGGTTGTTAAATCCACCCAGAGGTGCCTCGGAAGAAAGGCCTGGCAGTCTTCCGTAAGATTAACTATTGAAAACTATTGGAGCACGCTTCTGCTCTGACACATGTGGGGCCGTCATGAGTCTGAATCAACTGGACAGCAACTGGTTTTTTAAAAGAGTGAACATCTAATCATGTTCATAAATGTTCTTGCAGAGCATTTCAGAGAATCCGTCCTTATTGGCTGTTGGTTGTTTGTGTTCTTCCTCCCTAGAGACAACACTGCGTGAATAACTCTTGCATATGTACCGCCACCTTTAGGATAAATGTCTAGAAGTGGAATCACTGGGGCAGAAGGCAGGCAGACATTTATAGCTTTTATCATTGTTGGCAGCTGTGGAATTGGTGCCGACTCATGGTGACCCCATGCACAATAGAACAAAACGCTGCCCGGTCCTGCACCATCTGCATGATTGGTTTTAGATGGTTGCGGATCTGACTGCTGTGATCCATAAATTTTTTTTTTTGAATTATTTTTGTTGTTGAGAATATACACCAGTTCAACAATTTCTACACGTACAATTCAGTGACATTAATTACATTCTTCTAGTTGTGCAACCATTCTCATCCTCCTTTTCTAAGTTGTTGCTCCCGCATTAACATACACTTGCTAAGGTTCCCATCTAATCTTTCCAGTTGCTGTTGTCAGTTTGATCCCTTATAGATAGTTCTTAAAAGAGCACAATGCTCAAGGCAGACATTTTTTACTAGTTAAGCTAAAGTACTGTTTGGTTTTAAGAAGACTTCAAGGGATTTTTTTTTTTTTTAGTAGAATTATAATATGAATTTTATTTTTTCCTTTTTTTATTGTACTTTAGGTGAAGGTTTATAGAACAAATAGTTTCTCATTAAACAGTCAGTACACATATTGTTTTATGACATTGGTTAACAACCCCACGACATGTCAACCCTCTCCCTTCTCGACCTTTTTTTTGGTGAAAATATACATAGCCAAAGACACCATTTCAGAAATTTCTACATGCACAATTCAGTGACATCGATTATGTTCTTCCAGTTGTGCTGCTATTCTCACTTTAGATGAAGGTTTACAGAACAAAATAGTTTCTTATTAAACAGTTAGTACACATGTTGCCCTATGACAATGGTTAACAACCCTATGACATGTCAACACTGTCCTTACTCAACCTTGGGTTCCCTATCACTAGCTTTCCTGTCCCCTTCTGCCTTGTCCTTGTCCCTGGACTGTTGTGCCTCATTAGTCCCGTTTTGTTTTATGGAGCTGTCTAATCCCCGGCTGAATGGTGAACCTCGGAAGTGACTTCACCACTGAGCTAAAAGGGTGTCTGGGGGCCATACCCTCGGGGTTTCTCCACTCTCTGTCAGGCCAGTAAATCTGGTCTTTTTTGTGTGTGTTAGAATTTTGTTCTGCATCCTTCTCCAGCTCTGTCCAGAACCCTCTGTTGTGATCCCGGTCAGAGCAGTCAGTGGTGGTAGCCGGGCACCATTAACTGTACTGGACTCAGTCTGTTGGGGGCTGTGGTAGCTGTGGTCCATTAGTCCTTTGGACTGATCTTTTCCTTGTATCCTGTTCTCTTCATTCTGAAGGGATATTTTTGGTTTAAAGTTTAAAGAGTATCTCAGGGCAATAGTTTTGGGGATTCATCCAGCCTCCATCCGTAGGGTTTCACTGGCTGATTTTGGGGGATAGATTGCCAGACCTTTCTTCCTAGTCTTAATCCAATCTGAACAGTGTCCTTATAAAATAGAAGAGACACAGGCAGAATTGACTGTGCCATTTCTCACCTTTAGGGACTATGTCGGTGGTGGGGCCTGTCCCAGCAAGGCCACCATACCTGGGAAGACCGTCATCGTGACAGGCGCCAACACGGGTATCGGGAAACAGACTGCCTTGGAACTGGCCAAAAGAGGTAAAGTCCGAACTGGCTGCCTGCTTTTGCTGCCCGAGGCTTGGGTGTCAATTCAGTAAGGTGGAGGGAGGGTTTGATTTCCTGGGAGATGTTACAGTCATTGGGTTCTTTTGGTTGCAAGTGGTAGAAATCAGACTAACCCTACCTTAAGCCAAAAAGGCCTGTGTACTTGGAATGGGTAGGGAGGGTTCAAGGTCTCAGAGAAAGCTATAGTATGCTCAGAATTTTCTTATTTTGGTTTTTCTATTGTGTTGACCCCACTCTTTCCTACTGCAGTTGGACCTGGTTCGAGTTGGGGGCCGAGTCAGAGGTCAGGGGTTAGGACCTGACTTCAGGCAGTTCCAGACTTAGGTCGCCTCAGCTTAACAATTCTGGTGGAAAGAGATAACCTTTCCCTCCACCCCCGCCCAGTGTCCTTGTATATAAAATTCCAGGGAAGGGTTCTGACTGGCTCCTTTTGGGTCATGTGCCCACACCCTGGAACAATCACTGTGGCCATTCATGCATTCATTCAGGAAATATTTATTGAGCCCTGCCTTCTGCTCAATCCCTGCTTCCTGCTCTCAGTTTTCTAATCCTTTTTTTTTTTTTTTTAATTTTAACAGCTTTATCAAGATGTAATTCACACAGCACACAATTTACCCATTTAAGTGTGCACTTCAGTGGCTCTTAGTATATTCACAGAGTTGTGCAGCCATCATCACATTTTAGAATATTTTCATCATCCTGAAAAGAAACCCACACTCCTCCATTCTCGACGCCCTGCCCTAGGCAACCACTAATCTGCTTCCTGTTTCTATAGATTTCCCTGTTCAGGACGTTTCATCTGAATGGAATCCTGTCGTATGTGACCTTTTGTGACGGGCTTCTTGCGCTCAGCATAATGTTTTAGAGGTTCTTCTACATGGTAGCATGTATCAGTTTTTCATTCCTTTTTATGGATGAGTAATATTCCGTTGTATGTATATACCACATTTTGATTATCCGTTCATCTGTTGACACACATTTGGGTTGTTTCCACCTTTTGGCTATTGTGAATAATGCTGCTGTGAACATTGGCTTACAAGTTTTTTGTGGGATCGTATGTCTTCATTTTTCTTGGGTAGCTACCTGGAGCTTTTTTTCTTTTTTTTTCCTTTCAATTTTCCCTGTGCTGGCTTCCAGGAGGCAACATCATTCTGGCCTGTCGAGACATGGAGAAGTGTGAGGCAGCAGCAAAGGACATTCGTGGGCAGACCCTCAATCACCACGTCAATGCCCGGTACCTGGACTTGTCTTCCCTCAAGTCCGTCCGAGACTTTGCAAGGAAGATCATTGAAGGTAGGAAGGCGAATGCTGGCTTTGTAAGATGGAGGTCTTGGGCAGCTGGCTCCCAAGGCCAGGACTGAGGAGCGAGTTAAACCAAGCAAGTTCTAGTTGACAAACTATAGCCGTGGGCCTAATCCAGTTACCTTGTTGTTGTTTTTTTTTGTCAATTTAAAACAAATTTTAAAGGAATACATAAGTCTTACAACAAACCTAAAACAGAAATAATTTTTTTTACGTCCTTAATTTTTTTAAATGGAGGTGACATTTCATAACATAAAATTAACCATTTTAAAGTATATAAGTCAGTGTCATTTAGTACATTCACAATGTTGTGCAACAACCACCTCTAGTTTGAAAACATTTTCATCATCCCAGAAAGAGACCTCACACCCGTTAGCAGTCACTCCTCATCCCCCCCGCCACCACCAGCCCTTGACAACCACTGATCTACTTTCTGTCTCTATGGATTTGCCTATTCTGGATATTTCCTGTAAATGAAATACAGTATGGGACCTTTTGTGCCTGGCTTCTTTCACTTAGCATAATATTTTCAAGATTCATCTGTGTCGGAGCATGTATCAGAACTTAATTTCTCTTTATGGTTGATAATATATCACATTTTGTTTATCCATTCATCTGTTGATGGTCCCACCATACCAGTTGCCATCTAGTTTATTCTGACTCGTGGTGCCTCCATGTGTGTCAGAGTAGATCTGTGCTTCACAGGGTTATCAATGGCTGATTTGTCAGAAGTAGATGCCAGGCGTTTCTTCTGAGGCAAAGCAGGCAGGCTCTAAGTGGCTAAAAATCTGCTTATCTGGGCTATTTTTTAAACATTTGGATATGTACAAATTTGAGTTTGACACCTCTGGGCTTGTTGGGCTAATGGGCCTCAGTCTGTTATGAAATAAACAACCTGGGGCCAATACACAGAGGCCATCTTTGGCTCATTTATAAGACAGGTAGACAGAGACAATACATGCTATTAGTGGAGGCCTCATAGGGCATAGTACAGAGTATGGGAAACTCCTGCTTTCTTTGCTGAGGAGTTTCTTTCAACAAATCCAAGGATTATGCTGGTAGCTGGTATTTTCAGCAATTCTGCCAAATTGATGACTCACTCTCCTTGCCTCCAGCCAGGTATGCTCAAAACTACTTTTTCGAGTCGGACTCCATTTACCTGATTAAACATTCCGAAAGTACAAAAGGCTGTATAGCAGTTTTCCTGCTATACCTGCCCTTAGCTACCCAGTTAGCTGCCTTCTTCAGAGGTGTTTAATGTTCCAGCTTCTTGTGTATCTTTTTGGAGATGTTTTGTGCATTTTTAAAGCAAACAGGTATCTACATTCCCCCCCTTCACTTTTTCTACAAATGGCAGCCTGCTATCCACACGATGCTGTTCCTTCTCTTCACTTTTCTACTACCACCCTCTCTTGGAGATCATTCCATATTAGTGCCTAAAGAGCTTCCTCATTCTTGTCTTCGGTGACATTGTTTATTCCAGTGTGTGGATCTGGCAGATTGACTTTACTGGTCTTCTATCAGTGGACACTTGGTTTGTTTCTAGCCTTTTGCTGCTATAAGCAGTGCTGCGGTGAATATCCTTGTATCGATATGATTTCTCACATGTGTGGGGATATCCGTTGATCTTTGAGACAGCCTGTTTTCCTTTACCCTTCCCAATACAACAGATGGAAATAGAGCATCTTAGTCATCAAAGTGACATCTTTGCTTTTTAAAACTTTAAAGAGGTATTTTGCAGCCGATTTGCCCAAAGCGGTGTTATTGTTGTTCATTGTCGTTGAGTCGATTCGAACTGATGGCGACCCCGTGTGTGCAGAGTGGAACTGCTCACAGGGTTTTCAAGGCTATGACCTTTTGGATGCAGATAGCCAGACCTTTCTTCCAAGGTGCGTCTGTGTGGGTTGAACTGTCAGTTGTTTGCACCACCCAGCCACATTGCCCAATGCAGTATGTTGTTTGATTTCTTGACTGCTGCATCCATGGACTTACAGCTCTTACCACTAGAGAATTTCCTTGTGTATTTGGTCATGTGTTTGACTCTTAGCTACACTAGATTGTGAGGTCAGTGAGGGTAGGGGCCGAAACTCTATCTTGTTCACCCTGTATTTCCAGTGCCCAATAATAGGTGCTTAGAAAATACTTGAGTGAATAATCAGTAATAGAGTTTTGCCAGGCAAGTACTACTATTATCTCTTTTCAAAAAATGAGGAGCCTGAGTCACAGAGAAGCTATGTGACTTGGCCAGGGTCATACAGCTAGTCAGGGGTAGAGCTGGGATTTGAACCCTTGTCTGTCCAGCTCCAGAGTTTGTGTTCTTTATGCAAGATCTTTGGCACTGGCTTTTACAAGTAGGATTACTGAGTCAAAGGGCATGTACATCTTTAAAGTTTGGATTGTTATTGTTGTTGGTTGTCCTTGGGTCAAGCTGAGTCCGACTCATGGCTACCCCATGTGTGTCAGAGTAGAACTGTGCTCCATAGGGTTTTCAAGGCTATGACCTTTTGGAAGCAAATTTCCAGGACTTTCTTCCAAAGTGCATCTGGGTGGGTTCGAACTGCCAACTTTTCAGCTAGCATTTGAGTGCTTAACCATTTGCACCACCCAGGGACTCCATAACTTATGTTGTTAAGTGCTATGCTACATTCCTTGCTCCACAAATAAATAATGAAATCCTCACTGTTTGTGGATTCCATATTCGTGAATTTTCCTATGTACTAAAATTTATTTGTAATCCCCAAATCAGTACTCGCAGAGCTTTCACAGTCATTTGTGGACATGAAAGAGTGGCGAAAAAGTTGCGTCACCCAACGTGCACGTTCCCAGCTGAGGACGTCCTGCCTTCTTGTTTCGACTCTCATCCCATAAACAAGTGTCCTTTTCCTGATCTGTTTTGTGCTTTTTGCTGGTGATTTTGCTGTTTAAAATGGCCCCCAGGGGAGCAATTAGAGTCACATAACAACGTATGTATAAATTTTTGTATGGGAAAAAATAAAAAAAAAGAAAAGAAAGAAAAACAGTTATCTATATGAGATCAAATTGACAAGAGTAACTCTAAAGCATAGAGAAGTTTAGAGGGCAGTGAGTTTAAATGGTGATGAAATAATTTGGGAAGAGATAGCAAGAATGGCGACACATGTGAAGAATGTAACCCATGTCACTGAATTGTACATGTAGAGGTTGGTGAATAGGGGTATGGATGGCTGTGTACATTTTCACCAGAAACAAAATAAAATGTATATTTAAAAAAGAAAAAAATAATGAAAATAAAATGGCCCTCAAGACCCTGGTCTTGGGGAACATCTAGCTCAATTGGCATAACATAGTTTATAAAGAAAATGTTCTACATTCTACATTGGTGAGTAGCGTCTGAGGTCTTAAAAGCTTGTGAGCAGCCATCTAAGATACTCCACTGGTCTCACCCCATAGGGAGCAAGGGAGAATGAAGAGATCCGAAGACACAAGGCAAAGATTAGTCCGAAGGACTAATGTATCACAACTACCACAGCCTCCACCAGACTGAGTCCAGCACAACTAGATGGTGCTGGGCTACTGCCACCAACTGCTCTGATGGGGATCACATTACAGGGTCCTGGACAGAGCTGGAGAAAAATGTAGAACAAAATTCTAACTCCCAAAAAAAAATCAGACCTACTGGTCTGACAGAGAAACCCTGAGAGTATGGCCCCCAGACACCCTTATAGCTCAGTAACGAAGTCACTCCTGAGGTTCACCCTTCAGCCAAAGATTAGACAGGCCCGTAAAACAAAAGGAGACTAAATGGGCACACCAGCCGAGGGCCAAGGACTAGAAGGCAGGAAGGAACAGGAAAGCTGGTAATGGGGAACCCAAGGTCAAGAAGGGGAGAGTGTTGACATGTCATGGGTTTGGCAACCAGTGTCACAAAACAATATGTGTATTAATTGTTTAGTGAGAAACTAGTTTGCTCTGTAAACCTTCATCTAAAGTACAATAAAAAAAAAAAGAAAAAGAAAGTGGCCCCCAAGTGCAGTGCCCAACTGCCGTCAAGCATTCCTAAGTGCAAGAAGGGAGACTGCGATGTGCCTTGCAGAGAAAATACGTGTGTTAGATACACTTCATTCGGGCATGAGTTACAGTGTTGTTGGCTGTCAGTTCCATGTTTATAAATTAACAATATGTATTTAATAAGGAGTCCCTGTGTGGTGCAAATGATTAGTGCGCTCGGCTGCTAACCTAAAAGTTGTAGGTTTGAGTTCACTCAGAGGTGCCTCAGAAGAAAGACCTAGCTGTCCACTTCCGAAAAATCAGCCACTGAAACCCCTATGGAGCACAGTTCTACTCTGACACACATGGGGTCGCCATGAGTGAGAATTGACTCGACAGCGACTGGTAACTGGGAAGATGTCTTTAAACAGAAACACATAAAACAAAATGTTTTGACCAGAAGCTTGCAGGACCCTAACCCAGGTTAGGGTTTCCCCTAGGAGCAATGGTTCAATATTCGCTAATTCAGTGTTTGTGGTGACTTTATAGAACATAAACCCATTGTTGTTGAGTCGATTCCAACCCAAAGAGACCCTAAAGGACAGAGTAGAACTACCCCATAGGGTTTCCAAGGCTGTAATCTTTACGGAAGCAGACTGTCACATCTTTCTCCTGCAGAGTGGCTGGTGGGTTCAAACCACTGACCTTTCTGTTAGCAGCTGAGTGCTTAACCACTGCACCACCAGGGCTCCCTTATAGAACATAACTGCAGATGAGAATCAACTCTAGAGGCTCCTGCTTATCAGTTGTTAGACACTTAATTTACTATCTCCACTAATCCTGAAAACCACTTTGGGAGGAAGGCACTGTTACTCATCCCATTTTACAGATGAGGAAACTGAGGCTCTGAGAGGGTCACTTGATTGTACAAGTGACATAGCAGGCTTGGGACTCAAACCCAAACAGGGCCCTGGTTCCCACATGTAACCCCCAGTTTGAGGCCCCAAAGCTCCTGCAGCAGACACAGCTTCTTTCCCTTTCTGGAAAAGCTTTCTGAAGTCTAGGTGGGGGTGTTGTGGATTGAATGGTGCCCCCCAAAAGTATGTGTTGTAAATCCTAACCCCTATACCTGTGGTGGAGCCCTGGTGGCACAGTGGTTAAGAGGTTGGCTGCTAACAAAAAGGGTGGCAGTTTGAATCCGCTAGCAGCTTCTTGGAAACCCTATGGGGTAGTTCTACTCTGTCCTGTAGGGTTGCTGTGAGTTGGAATCAACTCCATAGCAATGGGTTTGGTTTTTGTTTTTTATACCTCTGGTTATATCCCATTTGGAAATGGGTTTTCTTTGTTAGGTTAATGAGGCAATATTAGTGTAGAGTATGTCTTGAATCAATCTCTTTTGAGATATAAAAGAGCAGATTAGACAAGGAAGCAAGCAAGCAGAGATGGGGGAAGATAGATGCCACACAAGGAACAGAAGCTGAAAAGAGACAAGGATCTTCCCCTAGAGCCAAGAGAGAGAAAGCGTTACCTAGAGCTGGCGCCCTCAATTCGGACTTCTAGCCTCCTAACAGTGAGATGATAATTTTTGTTTGTTAAAGCCTCCCACTTGTGGTATTTCTGTTATAGCAGCACTAGCTAACTAAGATGGGGGCTTTGTCCTTTGGTGTGGTGCCGATACCTCACACAGGTGTGGAGCTGATGTGTTTGTCCTCACCCATCTTCCAGAGGAGGAGCGAGTGGACATTCTGGTCAATAACGCGGCTGTGATGCGGTGCCCCCACTGGACCACCGAGGATGGCTTTGAAATGCAGTTTGGTGTGAATCACCTGGGTGAGGCCATGGCTGAGGGCTGCGCTGCGGGTGGTTTCAGCCTGGGGTTTGAGTGGGTTCCTCGTGGGTGGGTCACAGGCCCTGGGAGGGCACCCTTTCCCGTTTGCCAAGGCAGCAGGGTCTGCCCCTCAGTGGGCCCCTCGACCAGTTGTCAGGCCTTTGCTGGTTCACTGACCTATCATCGCTTGGACACTCCCTCAGCTGTTTTGTTGCTGCTTCAGTTACTGTTGGTCCTTTGTTCCATTCTCTGTCCATCGTTCAGTCTCAGTCTGTTGGTTCTTCAACCACTCAGAAAATCCTTTGATGTCTCCCTTCGTCAGTCAGTCCTTCACTCAGTCAGTCTGTCCTTCATTCTGTTGGTTGACCTTTTAGTTTCTCTGTCTTTCCTTCAGTCTCTGTCAGTTAGTCCTTTGATCTCTGTCCTTCGCTTTGTCAGTCTGTCCTTCCATCTCTGACAGTCAGTCCTTCATTCTGTCTGTCCTTTAGTCTCTGGCAGTCTGTCCTTAAGTCTGTCACTTAGTCCTTCAGTCTCTGTCAGTCCTTCACTCTGTCAGTTTGTCCTTCAGTCTCAGTGAGTCCCTCACTCTATCAGTCTGTCTTTCCATTTCTGTCAGTCTGTCCTTCAGTCTGTGTCAGTCCTCCACTCTGTCAGTCTGTCCTTCAGTCTCTGTCAGTCCTCCTCTCAGGGAGTCCTTTGGCCTTTCTCTCTCTCAGTCAGTCTCCAGTCGTCAGTCACTGGCCTGGGCTGTGAGGTCCAGGGGGGCCTCCCTGAGGATGTGGCAGCTGACAGAGGTGGAAAGACGAGTTGGCCTCCCTGCTCTGCCCTCGCTGTCACGAGGCCCTGGGACAGGAGCTAGCTTGTGTCCTCGGGGAGCAGCGAGGAGGCCAGTGTGACAGGAGCTGAGTGAGCAGGGGCTATGTGGAGGGAGATGAGGCTGGTGGGCTTGGTGGAGCCTGACCACACAGGGCCTTGGACGCCATGTTGTGAGCTTGGTCTTTATCTTAAGAGCAAAGTAGGGAACAGCTAAGGGTGATGATTGAACAACATAATGAACACAATGTCACCAAACTGTACATGTAAAGATTGTTGAAAGAGCAAAATGTTTTGTTACCTATATATTTACCATACACACACACACAAAGAGTTTAAAAAAAAAAAAAAAAGAGCAAGGTGTGGGGAGGTGTCTCTGAAACGTGTGAAAAGGTGTGTGTGTGTGTGTGTTGTGTGTGTGTGTGTGAGTGAGACAGAGAGAGACATGACCCCCTGCATTGGGGGCTGGAGTGGATACAGGTGACCAGCATAGGGTCCAAGTGCAGAGATGGAACTGGGAGGAGATTCCTGGAGAACCTCCAGCATCAGGGTACATCAAATTCGATTAATCAATATGCTCAGCAATCCCTTATACCCCTATCATGTGCCAGGCCCTTTTTCGGGCAAGTTGTGTACATGATCCCTGCTTCTTGTATTTTTGTCCCATTTCACTGAAGAGGCAATTGAGGTCAGGGTGTTTGTGGCTCAGATGGGAGGAAACAAAGGGAAATCAGGTGGATGCAGACTTGGAGGAAAGAGCAGAGCAGTCTGGGGGGAGGGGTCACGGCCAGCGGGTTGGACAGCAGATCCTCCCTGCAGGAAGGAAAGAGTGGAGACATGAGGTGAGGGTTGATCTTGTTTGGATGCCTGCCCTCCGTACTTCCCGCTCATTCAACAAACATTTACCCTGAAGGTATATGTCTTGAAATGCTGTTTGACTAAATGACAGGGGTTCTCAACTTGGGGACATTTGCCCCCCCAGTGGACATTTGGCAATGTCTGGAGACATTTGTGGCGCAACAGTTAAGTGCTTGGCTGCTAACCAAAAAGGTTGGTGGTTCGAACCCACCCAGCTGCTCTGCGAGAGAAAGACCTGTTGATCTGCTCCCATAAAGATTACAGCCTAGGGAGCCCTATGGGGCTGTTCTACACCATCAAGTGGGATTTCTGTGAGTTGAAATCAACCCGATGGTAGCTAACAACTTAGGGGTGGGAGATGCTACTGCCATCTAGTGGATGGAAGCCAGGGATGCTACTCAACGTCCTACAATGCACAGAACAGCCCCCACCACAGAGAATTATCCAGCCCCAAATGTCCGTAGTGCCAAGGGATGTAAAACTCTACTGTATAAAAATGAAAGCTTTGAAAAAAAGATGCCATCAACAAAACCAGTAGATAAATGATTATTCTGAGCAGAGACACTTGTAATACAGATGATAGTTAAGGGGCAAAAACAAGGCTTCTCAAGCTATTTGGGGGAAGTACTGTTTTGTCTTTTTAAAAAATATCCAAACAGACGTGGACCCATAATTTTGTAAAATATAATAGAAGTTATTAGAGAAGTGAAATAAAAAACAGAGATAAACAAAACACTTGTTATTATCAGCTTTAACAAGCATGTTGTTGTTGGGTGCCATTGAGTTGATTCTGACTCCTAGTGACCCCATATGACAGAGTAGAACTGCCCAATAGGGTTTTCTAGGTTCGAGCCCACCCTAACCGCTTTGTGGGACAAAGATGTGGCAGTCAGCTTCCATTAAGATTGCAGCCTTGGAAACTCTATGGAGTAGTTCTATTCTGTCCTATAGGGTCACTACGAGTTGGAATTGACTCTACAGCAATGAGTTTGGTTTTTGATTTAATCTTTGTAGGAGCAGATCACCAGGTCTTTCTCCCACAGAGCCACTGGGTGGGTTCGAACTGCCAACCTTGCGATTAGCAGCTGAGCCTTTAACCGTTGTGCCACCAGGGCTCCTTAACAAGCATTTGTTGTTGTTTGGTGCCATTGAGTCAGTTCCGACTCATAGGGACCATGTGTACAACAGAATGAAACACTGCCTGGTCCTGCTCCAGCCTCACAATCATTGCTGTGTTTGAGCCTATTAATTGCAGCCACTGTGTCAGTCCATCTCGTTGAGGGTTGTAAAAGTGGTGTGGTGGAGGTGTATGACCTCCTCTAACTTCGCAAGGAGGAAGGAGAATCAAGATCAACAGCCAAAGGCTGATTGCTATGAGGTAGAGGTCAGACATGCCTCTGCCCTCTGCCTTCTTTACCAATTCTGATACCAACTGTCCCTCCCACAGCACTCTCTACTTCTCGTCTGGGTTCAGTAATTCATTGCAATGGCCACACAGAACTCACAGACAATACTTACGATTATGGAGTTTATTAGGGAATTAACAGGTTACAATTTCAGGTTCAGGAATGCTCAGGATACAGTTCTTCCATCAGGACAGGCTCTTCTCAGCCATGCCCACAGGCACGCCTCTCTCTGACCCCTGCCAATAAGCCTCGGCCGGAAGGTGCTCAGCCTTCTAGCTTCATGGGCTAGGACTCCCACCACACTGTCTCCTGCTGATCTCCTGGTTCTGCTGCCTCTGCTGCTGCTGTTTCTCTGCCACTACTTCTGGCCGTCTTGCTGTCTTCAGCGTTACAGCTCTCTCTCTGTCTCCTGGGTCTAGGAGGGTCTTGGCGCAGAGATCCCAGGTCCAAAGGACACGCTCCACTCCTGGCTGTTCTTTCCTGGTGGTGGTGAGATCCTCTCCTTTCCACCTCTGAGGTGGCTCATTTTCAGCCTAGTGAGATGGTAAAACTGACCAATCCCCTTGGTGGGCCACAATTACCTTATTTGCACGATTGAACCCAATCACTTGGGTGGGAGTTACAAGATGATGGCGAGAAAGGCCACACAAAAGTGATCCATCACACCGCAAGGATCTTCTTCTTCTCTGACCCTTTACTTTACCGAGCATAACACTATCAAATTGCTATAAAAGTTTTAGAATATTTACTTTTAATTATCTGTAGACTTACCTTGTTGGGGAGCTGTAGCAAATGACATCGTTTCTTAGAGTTGAGGTTGGATCATTCTTTGTTGTGGGGGTTGTCCTGTGCGTGGTAGGATGTTGAACAGCATCCTTAGTTTCTACCCACAAGGATCAATTAGATGGCAGCTAACAACAACAACGAGATACCAATAGCACCCCCAACCCCCCCCTTTCCAGTGGTGAGAATCAAAAAAAGCCTCTGGACATGACCAAACGTCTTCTGGAAGGCAAGATCGTTCCCGGTTAAAAACCTGTTATTGGGAAGGTTGTCTTAGTTCTCTAGTGCTACTATAACAGAAATACCACAAGTGGATGGGTTTAACAAATAGAAATTTATTTTCTCATAGTTTAGGAGGCTGGAAGTCCAAATACAGGGCACTGGCTTTAGCGGAAGGCTTTCTCTATGGGCTCTGGGGGAAGGTCCTTGTCTCTTTTGAGCTTCTGCTCCTTGACAATCTTCATGTGGCTTGGCATTTATCTTCCCCATCTCTGCTTCCTTGCTTCCTTGTGTAATCTGCTCTTCTATATCTCAAAAGTGATTAAGACACACCCTATACTAATAGTGCCTCATGAACAACAAAAAACCATTCCCAAATGGGGTTATAACCAGAGGTATTTGTTGTTGTTGTTGTTAGGTGCCCTCTAGTCCTTTCTGACTCATAGCAACCCCATGTACAACAGAATGGAACACTGCCTGGTCCTGCGCCATCCTCACAATCATTGTTACGTTGGAGCCCATTGTTGCAGCCACTGTATCAAATCTATGTCATTGATGGTCTTTCTCTTTTTCACTGATCCTCTACTTTAACCAAGCATGACGTCCTTCTCCAGGGACTGGTCCCTCCTGATAACATGTCTAAAGTATAAGATGAAGTCTTGCCATCCTCCCTTCTGAGGAGCATCCTGGCTGTACTTCTTCCATGACAGACTTGTTCGTTCTGGCAGCCCATAGTATATTCAATATTCTTCCCCAACACCATAATTCAGATGCATCAGTTCTTCTTCTGTCTTCCTTATTCATTGTGCAGCTTTTGCATGCCTATGAGGTGATTGAAAATACTATCACTTGGGTCAGGCGCACCTTAGTCCTCAAGGTGACGTCTTTGCTTTTCATCACTTTAAAGAGGTCTTTTCCCGCTCCTAAGAATATATCCTAGAGAAATAAGAGTCGTCACTCGAATAGACATATGCACGCCTATGTTCATGGCAGCATTGTTCACAATAGCAAAACGATGGAAACAACCTAGATGCCCATCAACAGATGAAT